TGGGGCCGGTGAGCGGCGGGACCGGGCCGGGCCGAGGGGGGAGCCCGGCGGGGCAGAGTCTCCTCCGGGATAACGGAGCAGCCGGGAACTGCTGTGGGAGAGCTTAAATGAAATGACAGGCGGGTGGGCCGAACCCAGAACTGGGCTGGGGCGCGGGTGCTGCTTCTGGCCACATCTCGCTCTTGCCTCGCGGAGAGAACAGGAAAACACGAGCGGCTTCCTCTCCAGCTGGCTCGGCTGAAATGCTGGGGAGCTGCATCAGCTTGGAAAAAGCTGTGTCCGACAGCGGGAGCTCGCTGGGTGAAAGGTGAACTCTGGTACTGCAGGCTGCCCTCCGTAAACCATGCAATGTTTAAAGAGTGTGGAGTGAATAATGCCCCTGTGCTCGGGATCCATGTCACCGATGGGTATTTTGTGTGACAAAGCTGAGCAGTTCACCCTGGGTCTGGAGGATGAAAAAATTCCTTTTTAAGCAGCTGGCAGCTCCAGTAGTAGGTAATGAAAGTTAATTACTGCTGGATTAAGTTATGCTCACAACATAATTTGATGATGCTTAGCTAGAAAACGTCTTTACTAGCAGAGAAAAACTGGCCTCTGTATCCCCCACAAACAGCTTTATTTATTTCCAGAATGGTTTTAGAACTGGAGAGCCAGCTAGAGTTTATTTTGCACGTGGTTTTATCCCAGTGAGCTCTGAGCCTGGCTGGGAATCCCTTCAGGGAGTTGTGTCAGCTACCGAGGGTTGAAGAGAGATTGGAAGGGAGGAAGTGGAGCAACTTTACACTATATTGTCATTTCCTAAGTCCTAAAAAATGTAAGCAAGTTTATCCTGAAGCCTTTTGATGGAGTCAATTTCAGAGTATCTGTAAGAGCTCAGATTCTTCTCAGTGGTGAAAGTTTTGGGGACACAGCCAGCTTCAGATGTGGGTAGGCCAAAGGAGAAGATGTTTGTAGCATTTTTCATGGGCCAGCTGCAGGCTGTGTGAATTTTGAGAGACCCAAGCAGGAGAGAGCTACAGTGGAGAAGAAACACTGAAGTGTGATGAGTAAGGTGATGCCCAATGCTCACTCCAGCTGCCCTGAAGAACCAGGAGAGGTGCTGAGCTCGTTTACTGCTCCTTTGCTACCCTGGCAGTGGTGTAACTGCAGAAATACCAGCAAAGTGTAACACAGGAAACAGAACATTTCTCCTCATGAGAGCACCAGCATCACCCAGACTTCATGTAAAAACCTGCAAATGGGGATTTGCAATTTCAAATTGTTGAAATTGCAGTTCCCAATTTTAGTTCTGTTTGCTGTTTCCCCATTTGGCCAAAATGCTCTTTCAAAAACACCTGCAAAGATGAGGTGCAGGAGGAGTAAAAGCAGTGTGGGACTTCTCAGTCCTTTGTTATCCCAACCTTCTGGGTGGTGTTTGCTGTGCAGATGGTGCTGATTCCGGGAGGGGTGTTCACCATGGGCACCCACGAGCCTGAAATCCAGCAGGATGGAGAGGGGCCTGCCAGGAGAGTGCACATTGACAGCTTCTACATGGACCAGTACGAGGTCAGCAACCAGGACTTCGAGAGATTTGTGAATTCCACGGGCTACATCACTGAGGTGAGGCACCAGGGCACCCAGGCTCCTGAGAAAACCCCAGCTGAAAACCCAGGCTTCTCTTTCTGAAGGATGTCACAATACTTGTTTGGGATCTGCATACTCCAATATTTCTGATGGAAGTGGTGGGGAGAAGGAACTGTCTGGCCTTGCTGTCCTGGGCTGAAAGAACATTCAGGTGTTGCTGTTTTTAGTGATTTGTCACCTGAACTCGTGACTGGGTGCTGCCAGCAGCTCTCTGCAGGGGTTTTTGGGGTGGTTTGTGGTTTGCTTGGGGTTTGTGACATTTGGGTCCTGGACCAATCAGGTTAGATTTTCCTTGTTTTAGAGAAACCTGGATTTAACAAACTGAGATGGCCAAGGACTTTGCAGGCTGGCTCAGCTCCTTGCTGGTGACACAGAGCCCTGTGCCTGAGGAGGAGACAATAGCAGCTGCAGCGATAATTGTGTGCGGCTTCCTGGGAACAATGGACTAAGAATATGTTAAGGCTCTTCCCAGGAAGGAGCCGCCTGTGCCTGAGGCTCAGATCCCTCCTGACAGGTGACTGTTCCTAGCAACTTTGACAAAACCCTGACAGCCCTTTTAGGCAAATGAAAGCCTCGCTAAGGAACAGGTCTCAGAGGAGGCACTTTGCTGAATTCACTTGATGAACTGGTTCTCATTTGGAAGGCAGGATCCTCTGGTTGGATGAAAAGCTTCTTTTGTCTCCTATTTCTGTTTCTTAGCTCGATAATTATGAAAAAAAAAAAAAAAAAGTGGTTTAACTATTTTGGGTTGGAACACAGCTTGGTTGTTGCAAAGAGCTGCTGGGATGAGCACGTGTGGGGTGAGGTTAAATGTGGAATCACAGAATGCCCTCAGCTGGAAGGGACCATAAGGATCATCCAGTGCAACCCCTGGCTCTGCACAGCCACCCCCACAATCCCACCCTGTGCCTGACAGTGTTCCCCAAATGTTCCTGGAGCTCTGGCAGGTAGAACTGCATCATGTGGGGTCTGTTTCAGACTTCATGGCTCAGCTGGTGCAGTTTTACACCTCCTCTCTTTTTTTCCTCTTGATATAATGTACTGTGATTGATTGAAATTATTTGTATTTTTTATTCTTTTGGATTTATCTAATGCTAGATATAATAATTGAGTTACTTTTAACTCTTTATTGTTGTAGCAGCACTTTAAAACATGGTACTAGTGATGAAGGAGCAGTGACAGGGCTCAAATCTTTTACTGTGATTCCCAAAGAAAAAATAAGAGAAATGAAACGTGTTATTCCATATTAAATTGATGACTGTAGCATTTGAAAGCAGTTGGGACAATCAGAACTGCATTTTTAATTAATAAAAATTATGCAGAAGAATTAATAAAAAGATGCAGAAGCTCAGTGAGCTGCCATCTGCCCAGTGGCTGCTGAACAAAAACAACGTCCAGAATAAAAATCCCTTATTTTTTGTTCCAAAACAGCTTCCTTGAAAGAGAACTCAAATTCACAATTAGAATTTGTATGATCAAAGGTTGGACTTGATGGTCTCTGTGGTTTTTTCCCCACCTTAATGATTCTCTGAATTTTCTTATTCTTGATAAAGCAAAGCTGTAAATGTTGAGTGTGGTTCTATGAATAGCATTCCTTTGATGACATAATGGTTGAATCTTTTGTTCTTCCCATAGGCAGAGAAATTTGGTGACTCCTTTGTGTTTGAGGGGATGCTGAGTGAAGCAGTGAAGGCTGACATCCACCAGGCAGTGAGTAACACAGCAGGGGGAAACTCCCTGAGCAATCCCTGGGCTTTGTTGGTAATCACAGCAGGGAAAAGGAAACTCTGTGATGTCCCCAAAGCCAGGGGCAAAAATGGGGATTGTGGAGAGGGCTTGGCCTGGAGTCATGGACTGAAGTGGGAATGATTTGCAATCTATTCTCTGTCCTTTCTTTTTAAAAAACAATTTAAAACATCAATTCCTGATTAGCAAAAGTTGGTATCAGCCCCTTGTTGTCTCTTTTTGCCCTCTACCTGAGAAGTTCAGGCGGAGTCTGTAAGATTCCTTATGCTGTGAATGGCTGAAGATTTTGATGTTTCCTCCTTTTCTACAGAAGATCCTGTGTTCATTTGCTGCTTTTCCAGCTCCCCTCATCCCCATCCCCAGTGATCCTGGGAGGGGCAGTGCTGACTGCTCTGGAGCTGATCCCATTTTCCCTTTGGCTGGAAGTGAATACTGCTTTAAAAAGAAAGAAAATTCTGTAGTAGATCTTCCCTGCCCTTCCTCCCCTCTTCTTCTGTTGTGAATGTGTTGCTGAGCCTTCCTCAGGCTTCATTTACCTCCTCCTCAACAGGTCAGGTCCCCTTTGCAGCTCTTGGCAGATAAGCAGATTGTGTCCTGTCATCTCCTGAATGAGCTGATCTGCTCTGAGCACAGGTTTGGACAAAATCACCTCCTGAGGTCCCCTCCTGTCAGAATTCCCTCATCTCTGATGGGGCACAGCTTGATTTTTATTTCCAAGGGGCAGCCTGAGAAAAAGGCCAGCCCTGTGTGAGTGTGTGCTGTGAGGGACTGGCAAAGAACGTGGGATTTGGGTTCCTCCTGCCAGGGAAGGAAGATTACAAGTGCAGTTTGTAATCTTTTAATTCAGGTCTAACATTTGTGCACTGGGAGAGATAAGGCTAAATTGCAGTTCCCACCACCAGCATAACTGATGCTAAATCCATCCATGGATTTGTTCTGCCTTCATAAAAATAATAAAAAATACAAATAAAAAAAATGAATGGCTGATCCCATCTTCCCAAGACTCAGTATTGGAGAAATTCCTTTTCCCGTGTAGTTCTGTGATGCAGAAATCCCTAAATCAGGGACAAACAAACAAACAAACCCCAAGAATGCTGCTGTAAGCTCAGCCTTGGCAATTTTGTAAACACAGAGTGTTGGGAGCTGCTTTCCTGGGGGTGTCAGCCAAATTTCCAAGTGTTGGCTGCAGTGCTCACAGGACAAGTGTTATGCCAGAGGCCTGGAATGGAGCCTGAACTGGTCTTTTTTGGCTGCTGCTTCATGAAGGTTTTTTGGAGTTGTTAAAAGTAAACTTGCTGTTAAAAGTCACCTTCTTCAATCATAACTATCAGATGAAAAACAGAAATAAGATATAAATATTGGTGTGTTACTGAAAATCCCTCCAAGCAACCAATGGGAGAAAGGATTGTGGTTTTCCTTTGCCTCAGTGGCTCAGGAGTGTTTTAACAAGGATTTTCTGCTGCTGAAGCAGAGGGATGTGAAATGCAAATGTGAATACAGGGGAAGAGAAACAGGAATGTAATTTTTTTTAAGCAGTATTTCACATGCAGTGAAATAACTGGGGAAAGGTGAAAGGTACCAAACTAAATGATTCATAAATGATGAGCTGTGTGTGTCTGTTGGGGTTTTTGCTCTGTTTGGCCACTTTGTCCTCTCCAGTTTTTAAAGCAGATTTCTCAGAGCCTCAAAGCCATGGGCTGAGGGCAGAGCTGGGGCTGGTGGCAGCTGCTGCAGGAGTGCCCCAGCTGAGCACGTAGGGTGATTGTTGGAGCTCTGGGTGTGCCTTTCCTGGAGGTGAGGTGGGCTCCCAGATAGGCACTGACAGGGATGTGGGCTGGCCTCAGCCCCTGGAAGGGAAGCAGTAAAAAGGGGTGTAGCAGCCAGTGATGGAATTGTTGCAGATTTCTGGGAACTCAAGTCTTAGTTTTGGCCTCCCAGTTTGTGGTGGTCACGTGGCAGAGAGGGAGGGTTTAGTGCTGTGCCAGATGAGGGCTCCTCCAAATGGAAAAGGATTTTGTAGGATGAGGGTGGAAGGTCCTTTGAAGCTGAAATTATTTGTGTGGCTTAAAACATTACTACAGCTTCACATCTTAAATTCTTCACTTGCAGCCTGGAGAGGAGAAGGGGAGAGCTTAAAGCCCCTGCCAGAGCCTAAAGGAGCTCCAGAAAAGATGGAGGAGGGCTTTGGAAAGGGTGTGGAGGGACAGGACACAGGGAATGGCTTCCCACTGCCAGAGGGCAGAGTGAGATGGAATATTGGGCAGGAATTGTTCCCTGTGAGGCCCTGGCAGAGATTCCCAGAGCAGCTGTGGCTGCCCCTGGATCCCTGGCAGTGCCCAAGGCCAGGCTGGACATTGGGGCTGGAGCAGCTGGGACAGTGGGAGGTGTTCTTGCCATGGCTGGGGGAAACTGGGTGGAATTTAATGTCCCTTCCAACCCAAAAAATTCTGTAATTCCATTTGATTCTGAGGGGATTTGAGAGCTCTTGCCAATCCCTGCAGGAGTTTTCCTTGCTGTCCAGGTTCTGTGGAAAAGGGAACCAGCATGGCACAACAGGAGGGCAGCCCCAGTCTTTGCTGACTGGAGAGTAGAGGGGACATTGTTATTCTTGGCTCATGGAAGGCAGAAAAATTAATTTTTGCTTCAAGGCCAGATAAATTCTGCACTGAAGAGGCTGTGAGCATACAAATGTATGTCCAGAACTATGGGATTTCATCCCTGTTTGTATGGAAATCTCTGCAGTGGCCTGGAGCTGTGCAATGTGCCTGTTTCATAACAACCCCAAATTGAAACATTCTGCATTTCAGCTGAACATCTCCAAGTGCTGCTGAGAGGAGCCCTGGTTGCAGGTAGGACAGCAGTGCCAGTGTGGGCAGGGTGAGCTGTTCCTCACAGCCCCCAGTGCTTCAGCTCCTCCCTGCCAGGAGCTGCTGAACTGCTCATCTGTGGGTTTTTGTGCTTTACTCCCACTGCTGGAATAAAGAAGGATGTGCGGGAATTCTCCCTGGGAATTGCCAGGAATATTAGCCCGTGTTTATCAGAGCTGCAGCATTGAGGCAGGCTGTGGTTTGTGCCTCAGGCTGGGGAGAAATCCGTGCACATCTCGTTTCCTTCCAGCTCATGTGCACTTGGTTATTGGAAAAAAATGACCAACTGGAGTGCAGATTTAGATGTTGGCTGGAAATGAGACTTCCAGAGGTGTCTGCCTTCACCAGGAATATCAGTTCCTCAAAAGAAGCTTCTTCTGATTCCAAAACTTGCACTTAATGAATCTGACTGGATTTTAGCAGCGCATGTTTGTGGTTATTTTTCTTGGAGGATTGACAAGGCTGTGAAGTTTTACACTGTCTGAACTGAAGTTCAATGACCTTTCCTTATGCAAAAAAAAAAAAAAAGGTCCCTTCATAAAAGTGCTTGTTTCCAATCAAGTCTGAAATATTTTTTGTAGCTGATGACTTGCAAAGTAAAATTAAATGTATTTTAAAGCTGCTGCCTTTCCTTAGTGTGCAGTTTCAAACTGCTGTAAAACACTGGATTTTAAGGCAGATAATCTCAATATTCAATATTAAACAAACCCCCTTGTTGCTTCCGTTTCTGAGCTTATGAGGGAGGTCATTAACGTTAGAACATAAGAGTGAGAACAGATTCTTCTGTAATTAGAGCTTTGGGGGAGCTGGGACTTTTAATTGATGGAATAAATAGCATGGGAATTGCAGGAGCTGACAAAATCAGGTATTCACTGAATCCCAGGCTGGCTGGGCTTGGAAGGGACCTCTGGAGATCCAGCCCCTGATACAGGTGTGGGTTACCTGCTGGACAAATCCTCTGCTAATTGTGAGTTTGGGTCTGTGTGTGACAGAAGTTCCCAGTCCTGGCTCAGTTCTTGTCCATAATTACAGCAGGTTTGTTCTCTGCAGGGACAAAGAAGTGGAACCATTGCACAGTAATTATTTTTATTTCTTAAACTTCTCACCCTACTAAAAATGTTCCATTTTCCATCTGCCTCTTTCTTTTATAGTTCATTAATCAGTGCTCAAGGTTTAGGATCTGGCTTAGAGGAGGGAAAACTGTCAGAGATTTATGTGTATCTGCCTTACATGGATAAAATAAAACCAGGTCCAAAAATGATGTTTTTTAGTGAATAACAAGCTTTTTCTCTCATCCTACCAATGCTAGCAAGATCCTTTTGCATATTGAAGATGCACAGAGCTTGACACCATCTGATTCAAACAAGTGGTAACCTATTAAGTCAGCTTCTGCACTGGAGTGGCTTTTTAAGAACACACCACTTATTAAATGATTCTTAAAGTGGTTTCCAGACTTGGGCTGCTTTTCACTCAAAATCTCTTTTCACACTGTTAATTCTGCAGTTCTTACTCTGCAGTCACTTGTTTTTTTCCCAGCTGTTTATCCTGAGCTGGTGGAAGGCTTTGCTACATTAAAATAGCATTAGAATGCTGTAGCACAAAAAAAAAGATGATGTTTGGTGCCTTTTGTCTGGACAGCAGCATGAATTTGTCATCCTTTTGTGGGCCTGACTTAAGGTTCAAATGTACAGCTTTGTTGTTTCAGAGGATTTGCTACTTGATGGAAATGTTGGAGTCTGAGCCATGCTGAGCTACTCTGTTGAGTTTTTTTGGTAATTTTTCGAATACATAAATCTGATTTGAATTTGAGATTTGCTCCTCAAGTGAGGGTTGTTTTTCTCAAACGTTGCCTGTGTCATGTTAGTGCAAGACTAATAAATGTTTTTATGGCTGTGAGCTGGGTGGCTTTGGGGTGGTTTTTAGGAGCATTCCCCTACTGCAGTAACAGCAACAGAGTAATGCTGACACTTGGTGATGTTCCCCACTCCAATTTGATTTTTTCCTCCATACATTTAGGGAGGAATTTTCCTCAAGGTAATTATGAAGTAGTTTAAAAATCTTGTAATGGAGCAATTAAAGTTAGGCTGTCCCAGCCTACTTGGAAAGGAGAATGGAATAGTTGGAAGGAGAGTTTTCTGCAGGCTGTTAGTGGGAGTTCAGGCTTCAGCTCTGCAAATTGCTCCGCCCCAGCGCAGAGCTCGTGGGTCGGAATTAATTGTTCGAGCTCTTCCCAGGGTTATCACACTGGGCTCTCTTTTCACAGCACACTGAGTCTGTGAGAAGCAGAACAACGAGTTCTTAAGGTTTAATCCTGGTGGGGAGAGCTGGATAATCCCCGTTTCCAGGTGGATCAGACCAAAACAAGGCTTTGTGCCTCGGCGTTGCTCTGGGAAGCTTTTCCCTGTGCTCGAGGCTGTAAGGATCGCAGGGCAGGTGTGGGACAGGTGACATGCTGCAAGAATTAACCAGAAGGAACAGAATTGTCCTCTGGTTTCAGATCTATTCAGCAGCTTCTGCTGCTATTTTGACAGCAGGAATCTGTTGCCAGTGCACAGAACGTGTTTTGGAGGGAAGCAGAACGTGAAGTGTTATGAAAGTAACTAAGCTCATTATTGGCAAGGGAGGACTTGGCTGTATTAACTGTGATGTTGTAATATCTGTCTAATTAGCTCTTCTCCTAATTAGATTTAGAGCAATTAAAAGCTTTAAATACTTGTGAGAAGTTCTGTGAGAGAAGTGTAGATTTCAGGTAGGAGATTTCTGGAAGGAGCAGCTCGGGGTGTGCTCTGGAGCCAGGGGCTGCCTTAGCTGAGTCTCCAGGTAATTCTTGCAGGCTCTCCACGCTCTCTCCCTGTTTTCCCTGTCCCACACTGGATGTCTGAGTGCTCTGGGTGCTCTGCAGGGCCATTTGGTGCTCAGCTCTGCAGAGCCACAACCTGGAGCTGTGCACACGCAGTGCTTTCCTGTGGAGAGACATTTTTCTTGGGTTAAAATAAACCAGCCTGATTGAAAGCATCTGCTTTTTCTTTTACATCACAAAAATGTTTTCCAAAATTAAAGTCGCCTAAAGTGTAAATCTTTGCAGTCTCCTGCAGAGATGTTTTTATCCAAAACCCAGCAGTTTAATTTACACAAATATGTTGTGCTTAGAAACTGTCGAAATCTTCCTCGTGATTTTTCAGATTTTAGCTTTAGCAAACGGTTCTGCTGCTCTTTTATTTTCCTTAAATAGCTGTAAAATGCTAATTTTGGATTTCTGTCCTGTTTTCAGTGTAGTTTAAAGGTCAAACCTCAATATGGGCAAGGAATTGGTTAAATCAGACTGGTTTTAAACCCCTTGACTGTTGTATCAGTTTAGCAGCTCCCTCACTCTGAAGCTTTAGTGCTGTGAGAGTTGAGCAGAATATCTGCAGGAAGCTCTCATTTTGGGGTTTGAAGAGCTGTAATTCCCTGTGAGAGATCAGCTATTTCTCATGCTTTTTGCCAAGGGCAGTGCCAGTGCTTGGGGTGAGAATGTCCTTAGTTAGACACTGAGCCAGAAGTGGGCTTGGCATTGATCTGTGTGTGCTGGGGAGGTCAGAGAGGGTCTGTAAAACCTGTCATGTCACCCAGGGGGACAGCAGAGGACAGGATGCCTGGGTCACCAGCAGCCTGCTGGGAGCATCTTTATTTCTTTGGGGCTTAACCCTCAGCTGTTCCCTTTGGAAGGGAGGCATCCACAGCCCGTGTGTGAGCAGCTTCCCAGCCTGCAGGACTCCTGCAGCCTCCCCAGGCACTTCACAGCCCTTCCCAGGGCTCCCAGAAGCTGTGGGCTCTGCAGCTTTAGTCCAGGATTGCTGCTGATTTACAGGGACCCAGATGTGCTGAGAGGGGAAGAGGGAAAGGTTGTCAGGGGAATGTCAGAGCACAGCCTGATGAAGTGCTCTAAACCCTGGATAACGTCTGTTTGGGCACTTCTGCTGATTTTGCCTACTGAAATATCCAAGTGAGGGATTTCATGTGTAGCTTGGACCAGAGTTTTCTCAACAATTTATGTGTGGTGCAGATAATCTTTTCTCCCACACACATGTAATTTCATGTTCTGTTGAAGGATGCAGCTTTCCCCTAGAAGCTGCTGTTAAAATTGTTTGACCAGACTGATTCTGGGTCTCCTCAATACCAGCTTGCAGTGGCTTTTTGGACTTTGCTCTGAAGGTTTGGTGAGTTAGAGGGTAACACTCTTTCTTACTTCTGTGAATAACATTCGGCAAAGTTGGTCTAGGACTAACCAGCCTCTGGCTTGTTTACCTCCTAAAGCATTCAGGCTTATTTCCTTGGATTTTTGTTCTTTATAGACATTCTCTGTAATAGGAGTATTTTGGAAGTTTCTGGAATAAACTCACTGTTGCTGGGTGGCATAAATGTTCCTTTTTTTGCCTCAGTGAAGGCCTCATTATAAAAATAAGTATTTCTAAGTGAACATGAATCAGAACAGAGCAGTTAAGCATGACCTCCTGTGCTTTTTAGAGGAAATCCTCAAAATATGTCTTCCAGGAAAAACTGCTGGTGTTGAAGCACCAAATTTGGGATTTCTGGTTTGAGAGAGCTGCTCAATGTCTGCACTGCTACAGAGGATTTTGGCTGTCTGATGTTTCCCAGCAAACCAGCTGGGGAAGAAAAAAAAGAGAGAAATGCCTCATGCTTCACTTCCCTTGTGTGGTTCTTCTGTCTCCACCTTCTGGAAGCTGAGAGCAAATAATTTAAAATCAGCTTAGTGGGTTAATGACCTGGAAGGCGAATGTGTCGCAAGATGTGTGTTTGACCCCAGCTAAAGGGCACTGTCAGGGGGTTGTTTCAGTCATCTCAAAACAGAGTCCAGAGAGCAAATAGTTAGGGTGAAAATGCTCTTTAGGTCAAAATTGTAATTTTTCTTTCCTCTCTGCAGATTGTATCAGACTGAAGTGAGCCAGGAGGTGAAATTCACACAGGCACAGACTGCTTTGTTGGGTTGGAAGGGTTCTGGTGGTTTTTCAGAAGATCCCTCAGCTGGGAATTTAAGTGTCCTTCCCTGCTGCTCTTGTCCTTTTTCAGGTGGCAGCTGCTCCCTGGTGGCTGCCTGTGAAAGGAGCCAGCTGGAAGCACCCTGAGGGCCCTGACTCCAGCATCTCCAGCAGGTGAGCCATGAGCACCCATTCCACCACAAAACCCAGCTGCTGGCTGTCCCTGTGGCTCCCACCACCATGGGGCTGCAGGAAAGGGCTTTTATTTGTCACCTCTTTGCTGCTGCTTCTGGGAGCGTTTTCCCACCTTCAGAGGTGTTGCCTGCAGCATTCCCTGGTGGTCAGTGATGTGGGGCACAAAGGTCTGGCAGGACCCTGCTGATGGAGCCTCAGTGCTCGCTGTTCACGTTTGTGAAACACAGCAGATCTCCCAAGGCTCAAAAACTCCACTGCAAACTGGGTTTGGAGAGGAGGAATAAATCCTCTCTGTGTGCACACTCCAGGAGTCTGGGTAGTGTGAACTCTTCCACGAGGGATTTGGAAGCCTCTTTCTCTGGCAACAGAGGATTGAAAAGTTTTGTGCTTTTTTTACTGTATTCAGACTCCATGAAAAATCAGTTGTGACTGTATTGAACCTCTGAATGCTTTGGAAAACTCTGCTTTTCCTTACAGCTAGTGCCACGCTTTGCCTGCACAAACCCTGAAACTCACTGATCCTTGTCTTCATGCAATTGCTTTCTGTTCTGAAGAGGGATGAATTTTAGGCCTAGAAAATCAAATTACTGTCTTCATTTAGAACTTCTAACATTGCAACTGCTCCTCTCACTAGGCAGGTGTCAATGAAGTTGGCACTTCATCAACCAGTGAAAGTTTCTAACAGCATTTTGAAATCAAATCAGACTCTCTAGCCTAGATCTAGTAGGTTTTTGAGTCCTCTAAGGACAGGACTTTGTTAGTGCACCGTCATCTGATGGCTGAAACGCTCAGTAACGAGTTGTCTGCTCTCCAAGGGCAAGGAAAGAATTATCTGAGGCAAAAATAGAGATAATAGCTGGAGGTGTTGTTAGGGGGAGCCTGGAATTGAGGTCAGAGCCAGCAGCCAGGAGCTGGAAACCTGCCACGAAATTCTGGGCTTGTGCAAGGGTGGTGCAAAGCTGGCCTGGCACAGCTGCTGGGAGCCTGCCACGTGGAGGTGCCCCATGGATTAACAGGGATACGCTGGATTCCTAAATGGGGCAGGAAAGAGAAGTTTATAGGAAGTTCCTCTCTCTCCTGGACCCTCAGCTCTGGAAGCATCTTGGTCTATTGGAGGCTTGGATGGGGAGGATCCTTCTGCAAGGATGCCTGGGCACTTTTTTTGTCTTTCTGGGAAAAGAGACAAGGATTTTAATGCCAGGAACCAAACCCCAGTGAAGATGGGAGCTCTTGTGTAAACTGTGGACTGCTTAAAGCACCCAAGGAAAATCACTTCCCAGCTAAATTTCTGCAGGTTTTTTTCCTGGACTGGGTGCTGAAAAAGCTGATGTTGGTAAGACTCTTCCTCATGTCCCTTCTCCTTCAAAACTGCACAGCTGACAGCAAGGACAGACCCAGAGCAGGAGAAGAGCCACAGGGGAGTGAAGAACAATCACTATTAAATTGCAGTGTGCATTTTCCTGTTGAGAATCCTGGCTTCTGGCTGAGGTGGCCCTTGCCAGGCTGGTTTAACAGTGGTGATCCTGCAGGTTTTCAGTTTCCTTTGGGTCTGCAAGCACCCAGGTTCCCCCAGAGGGCAGGGTGTGGACAGGTCTCTGCTGCCTCCTGGGTGCTGCACCTGTAAATATCTTTAACTGAACCATAAATATCTTTAACTGAACCATAAATATCTCTAACTGAACCAGAATTACCTTTAACTGAACCATAAATATCTTTAAGTCTGCAGCTGGATGTAGGAACATGATGAGACAAACAGAAGTGAATTGTTTTTCTCTTCCTTGTTCCCCTCTGATGGCTGCATTTCCCTTCCAGCATTTTGCTGCCTTGCCTTAAGCAGCTCCTTTCCTGTAAGGGTCACCTGGTGCCTGCTCCAGCTGTAACTCCTGTGTGCCCCTGCCTGGGTGTCACATTGTGCTGTGCAGCCCTGAGTGTGCCTGGTGCCCTGAGGAGCCTGTCCTGTTGGTTTTGTTTCCAGAATGGACCATCCAGTCCTTCATGTGTCCTGGAATGATGCCATGGCCTTCTGCAGCTGGGCAGGGAAGCGCTTACCGACGGAGGCTGAGTGGGAATACAGCTGTCGAGGGGGCCTTGAGAACAGGTACCTGTCCCAGGGCTGTCCCTGACCAGGGCTGCACTGGGGTTTGTGAGATGAGGAGGACTTGTGAGGGGTTTCTTACCCTCAGAACTGCACTGCAGCCGAGCTGGGGGTGCTCACCTGGAGAGGAGAAGCTCCAGGAAGAGCTCAGAGCCCCTGAAAGGGCTCCAGGAGAGCTGGAGAGGGACTGGGGACAAGGAGTGGAGGGACAGGACAGGGAATGGCTTTAAACTTGAGGAGAGGAGGTTTAGATTATTAGGAAGAAGGTATTTATTGGAGTGTGGGCAGGCCCTGGCACAGGTGCCCAGAGCAGCTGGGGCTGTCCCTGGATCCCTGGCAGTGCCCAAGGCCAGGCTGGACATTGGGGCTGGAGCAGCTGGGACAGTGGGAGGTGTCCCTGCCATGGCAGGGGGCACTGGGTAGGATTTAAGGTCCCTCCCAACCCAGACCATTTTGGGATTCTGTATAACACTGACTTTTAATTAAAAGTGTTTGACAGCTGCTCTGTTTGTCTTTTCCCAGGCTTTTCCCCTGGGGCAACAAATTGCAGCCCAAAGGGCAACACTATGCCAATATCTGGCAGGGAGAATTCCCCACCAATAACACAGCAGAGGATGGCTACAAGGGGACTGCACCTGTAAGTTTGTCTCAAAGACAATCCAGCATGTGGAAATGATCTTAATCTTCCTAAAACTAAGGTCTGTTGTCAGCAGGATGAGCCATAGCTGTTTTCCATCTCTTTTCTCTTTCATTATAGATTTTAAATTACATTAAATTTCACTGCAGGCTTGAGCATTATCAAGGGACTCTTTTACAAGCTAATTGAAAAGTAAAGATTACTTTGATTTTAACTTCTAGTTCCTCTCAAACTGACCTCTTTTCCCCCTTCCCAGACAGTTTGTAGTCAGAAGCTGAAATACTTTCTGCCTGCACTTCTGGCCTCACAGTTTCGTGAACTCAAAAATCACACAATAGTTTAAAAGAAACTAATCTTCCCTTTTGGGGAAAGGATGAGCCTGTCTAGTATAACAACCAGAGTGGAATTTTAAAGGCAATCAAGAATGTGAATGAATTATTTAATGGTAGTTAAGTAAGTCCAAAAGTTTCATCAGAAGAGGAGTCTGCACAGGCAGGAGTTGGCAGCCACCCTGGCTTTTCCTTGGTGAGAGGGGAGGGAATCTGGGAATGGGGTCAAGTCAGTAATGCCAGGTGTGTCTGCTGGTCAAACAGTGCCTCTCTGGAGAAGGTCAGTCTCCAAAACCAGCAAGGAGATGCTGTGCCACTCTGGAACCTGGTGCTGAGGACACAGAGGTGCTCACAGCTTTCCATCCTGTTCGATTGAAATGCAGGATGTGCAAGCATTCCAGTTCTGCACTGCTGATCTCCTGCCTGCTTTTGGGGCTGCCCAAAGTGCACCTTCAGCAGCCTGATGTGAGGATTCAAGCCCTGTTCTGTGTGCTTAGAGCTGTGCTCCCTGTCCTGTGCAGGTCTCTGCCTTTCCCCCCAACGCTTACGGCCTCTACAACATGGTGGGGAACGCCTGGGAGTGGACATCGGACTGGTGGGCTGTGCACCACTCCCCACAGGAGCTCCACAACCCTGTAAGTGTTTTCTTGGCTTTGTGTTGAGCACAGAATCCCCTCTGGGCCTGGGATCCCGTTCCTGTTCTGTGCTCCTGGCGTGGGCTGTGTCCTGGGGGAGCAGCAGAGCACAGCTCATCCACACTGCAGTTACAGTGCTCTGGTGCAGCTTTTGGGGTTTGGTTAGTTGTCCACACCTGGTTAGCCAGTGAATACTTCCAAACTGGCCTCATATTACAGCAGTCAAGAATTTATGGAATGACTTCTTTAAAAAAAGGAAGGTTTTTAATTCACTTACATTGCTACAAGCTGTACTTCTTTTCCCCATCCCAGGCAGAGAACAAACCATGGTGAGTTATCTTTCTGGCTTCTAGCAGCTTGTTTTAAACTGAACATGAGATAAAGCTGAGGTTTAGGAGAAGTCACCAGGCTCTGAGAGGTGAATCTTTGTTTTCCTCTGTGGCAGGCAGATGGAGGGTCCTGCAGGGTGAGAGCTGTGAGGTCACTGATGTTCTGTCTCAGCAGATTCCAGTTCTGCGTTAGATCTGCTCCTCTCCCAGTCTGTCAGGATGAGCAAATCTCATGATTTATGACAAGTAAGGCCACATAGAGTTTGTCACTCAAAACCCCACCAAATACAGTGGTTTTTATTTCCTTACAACATCCAAAGCACTTGCAGGTTTGTTTTTACTCCTGGTAATTACTTGTGAAAGCAAGACAATCAATCATGAAGCCCCCCAACAATCTGTGTGCAGAATTCCATCCATTCCTTGTAACCAATCCCCAGCATAGCTCAGCTCTCTCCAGTGCTAGAAAGCTGCTTTGAAGATTTTGGGTGTTCAACTAAATATGTTAAAAAACTTTGCCTGAGCTCTGACCCTCTGGAAGAATTGAGAGTCTTTTCAGCCCAGAGAACAGATCCTATATTTAGGTTACACTGCCTTGTGCTCTGCAGAGACTGAAGAGCTGAGCTCTGATAGATCTGGTGCTAATCAGTTCTAATGTCTCAGAAGATAACTGCAGCCTGGCTATTTTGGGACACCTTTTCACATGAGGAGATTCAGTTTCTTTACCCATTTAACCAGAAAAATCCTTTGGAATTCACTTTGAAGTGCTCTGCCTCAGACACTGGATTCTGACAATCAGTTTGTATCTGAAAACCCCCTGAAAGCCTAGCTTTTAAATACTTTCTGAAGTGTCTGGGTTTTAAACTTCAGCAACTCCTGGGGGTTAACAGAGAACAAAATTCACAAGAGAGTTGTTCCCCACCATCACCTTAATCCAGCAGGGAAGTGCTGCAGCTTTGGCATCATCAACACAAAAATGTCTCAAATAAACATAATAGAGGTGCCTCCCTGCAGTCACAGAGTCCCAGAAGGGTTTGGGCTGGAAGGACCTTAAAGCAGGGCAGGAGCAGCCAAAACTTCTCTGGGCACCCTGTGCCAGAGCCTCCCCACCCTCACAGGGAAGAATTTCCTCCCTTAAAATGTAACTGATCCTTTAGCAGAGAGAGCCAAGTGTGTGTGTGAGGTCAATCAAACCACAGTCCCTTTAGGGCTTATTTTGTGGTGACTTCTGGCTCTGATTGTTTTGTATGAGCTGCAGTTCTCTGTTTGAAAACTGATTTCTCTCAACACAGAGTAACCATATGGCTGTGCACTGAAAATCACCATGCACCAGCAGAAAACATTTGTTTGATGTAATGAAAGAAATAGAACTTTTTTTCATTAACAAAAAAAACCCAAAAAAACCTTTTTTTTTTTCTAACTAACTTTTAGAAGAACAATCCTACTTTTATGAGCTTTGGTAATGGAATGCACAAGCACTTATGTAATCAGACTGGAATATGGCTGTTGCAGTATTGTGGTACAGAATAACCTTGCTAATTTACAGTAAACTCTGGGGTTTAAATCCAGGATCAAAGTCTGGACAGCTCTGGCCCTTTGCAGCAGGCAGCCAATGTCCTTTCCCTCCAGTACCAGCTGGTGCACTTCTCCAGGTCAGGCCATCAAACAATGGTGCTTGATAGAACAGAGATCTGCTTGTTTTAATCAAATGTGACCTTAATTGCTGGGCTGTGATTAGCTGTAGTGAGGGGAAGCACAGCCAAGGCAGTTTCCTTCATCTCTAAAGTGAGATATATGCACAAGAAAATATTAACACTGCAAATGCTGGTGATATCTATTGGTTTTCTGATTTTCTGACATCTTTGCCAGTTGTTTTATGATAAACTCTTTACCTTCAGTGATTTTAAATAAGAGAATGATGTTTTTTAATTGAATAGATTAATGGAGGACACCACAGCAGATTTCTGCAGGTGGTGAAGTGTTTCAGGGCTGTAATCCTCCTTCAGAGGATGTGGGGGTCAATTTAAGTTGGTTTTTTTTTGTTACCAGATAACCTTTGATGCTCAATTTTTGCCTGGTGGAAGAGATTTACAGTTAATAAAAAGATGTACTTATGAGCCTTTGGTTCACCCACTGCTCAGTACAGGTCAGCCCTTTATCACTGCTGACACATGATAGATTTAGGGCTTTCTAACCCCAACCAAAAAAGTTCCTCTTAGTTTATAAAAGTGTCTTTGGAGCCAGTAACACAGATTGCTGCTCAGCACTGCACATTTAGGGGAAATCCTGCTCCACAGCCCCATTGTTCTGCTTTGTCTTGTTCCCGTGGAACTTTTTTTAGGTCAGTTTTCTCCTGGCTTCCCTTAAAATGAGATTACCAGGCTGGGTGATGACTGTGCTGGTTAGAGGCTTATCTCAGAGCAGGGGCTGTGCATCCACCTGCAGGTGTTGTGAGGACAATTTCCAGAGGTCTGGGAGTGGGAGCAGGGCTGTGGAAGGAGCGGATGCTGCCCCAGGGTGTGGCTTTCCTTCAGTAGTTGTGTGCCATTAAAGGCAGTGATAGGCCAAATTCTTTTTCACAATTTGGGCAATAAACATGGAGCTGCTGCAGTTGGTGTGGTGAGCTTTCCACACAAAGCAGTCAAACTCTCAGGGGGTGCAGGCAGGAGCTTCTGGAGTACCAACATCAACACTCAAGGTTTTCTGACAGCCCCTGGGATTTATGTCCAGTTACAAACCTCTTCTGGGGTAGATTCTTCTAGAACATCACCCTGGTAATTCAGACCTGGGTGGGAGGCAACCACTTGAGACAGGGTAGGAGAGTGGGATCTGTGCCAGGTGTGACCAGACTGGTCACTGAGGAAAGCTGGAGCTGCTTTCCATCCTGGTAAAATCCCCTTTAGGAACCTGCCTGTTGCCAGGCACCATCAGTGGGCAGCAACTGGAATGTGAAATATTTGCAGCAGTGGGGAGGGAGCACAGTTACTGTCACCTGCAAATCCTGTAGGGCAGAATGATTCCAAGCTGTCTGGAATATTTATGGTTTCTCCTCCATCTCCCTGCTCCCTGTACTGAGCAGTTATTCCCTGAGTACTGACCAGTGTCCTCCCCTCCCCAGAAAGGGCCGTCCTCGGGCACGGACAGAGTGAAGAAGGGTGGATCCTACATGTGCCATAAGGTAACGTGCTGTTTTCATGTTCCTCTTCCCTCTGAAAGCACTTGACCATGAAATGATCCTCTGACAGAGTTCCCTGGATGCTTGTCAAAGGGTTTCATGGAATTTATGAAGAGCAACACCTGATGTTCCTAAGGATCTCTTTTTGCTTAGCTTGGAATTAAAGCAAGTAAGTTTTTTTTAATCAGTATGGGTTTTAGATGCAGAACTTAAAACTGATGTGAGCTTCTAATGCTGTTTTTATGATAAAGCTTGAGTGAAACTTGTCAGAGTAGAAAGTATGGATGTGACTTTATTTTTTAAGTTTTAGAATGGAAATCCAGTCTAGTGAAAGGTGTTCCTGCCCAGGGCAGGGGGATGGGACTGGATAAGCTTTAAGGGCCCTTCAATCCCAAATCCTGTTATAATTCCATGGTACTGTGATATCAGGCTTTTGCAGAGCTGGCTGGGAGATGAAGTGTTTCAGCTGAGGTGATGGCATATCTGAAAATCCTTCAGAAAGCCAGGATGTCACCACAGAGCTGTGGCTGTTCATGACACAAAATTGTGTTTTAACTCTGCTCGTGCAGTGCTTGAAACCCCTCATTGTACAGCTCCTGTTTCATGAAAGCTGCCCTGCTCTTCTTCCCTTGCAAAGCCTGTGGATGGCAAATCACTCTCATAATTAGATTTTCTACAGCGAGATCCCATTTTCTACACTGATTTTCTTCTTAGGTGAAATCAATGTCAGATGTTAATTAGCAGTTTTGATTAAATTAACACTGGAATAGGCTCTTCAGTGATGAATAACATGACCCATTTTGAAGGTTTGTGAAGATTCTAGCCTGCCCTAGTCTTTTTTTGTAGGTGATAAAACTAGGCTGTGTATTGAGACAAAACCCACTGACTGCTGTTAGTACAAGGGCTCTTTATGAGGTGCCTGATGTCTGCACAGACTGATCTTTGTGTGCTGATGCTCTTCTCCCTCTCAGAGCTGACAGAGTCTGAAGTTGCACCGTTTTCCATCCCATACCAAAAGTCTGGCATCTCGTTCAGGGAAATGTTTCCAGGCAGGTGCCAGTACCTGTCCATTCCAGTGGGGCTTTAGCACATGGATACTCAGCTCTGAGGGGAAGCTGAGTGGTTGTTCTGGCTTTTTCCCAGAGCAGGAAGGATTATTGGCTGATACTTTAGCAGACACTTTGCCATTTTTGTGTCAGCTGCTGTGTGTGTAGGATCCCCTCATCTCTAACGCAGTGATTCCCATCCGTATCACTTCACTGATCTGTCCCGCAGCGCAGGCAATGTTTTGCTGTATTAATCTAACTAATTAATCCGTTCATCTAACAAGCTGTTGCCTGAGGAAGCCCAGCTGTGCTAAGAAGTTCCCTTTCTGTGTTGCTGTGCAGTCCTACTGCTACAGGTACCGCTGTGCAGCTCGGAGCCAGAACACCCCCGACAGCTCCGCGTCCAACCTGGGCTTCCGCTGCGCCGCCGCTGCCCCGGGGCCGCGCTGACACGGCCACACTCCCAGGGACAGCAAGGGCTGTCCACCCCAGGGAGGAGAAACGTCAGCTGCGTCCCTTGCTGATGACACACAATGGAAAAACCTTGCTTGAAGTTCCTGCTGAGGGAAGAAAAACCAGCACGACTCAACGGCGCTTGGAGAACCTTCGTGTTCATGAGCAGCTCCTGACCGGAGTGTTTTGGATTCAGCTGGAACCAAACTGAGCAGAAACATGCCAATTGTGTTTTCAAAGATTACTTAATCCATGTATTACTCAGGCTGGAAAAGAGCTCCAGAATTATTGAGTCCAACCCTTGACTGATCACCACCTGGTCAACTACAAGTTCCTCCTTAGACAAGATCTTTATTAATCAGTTTTATTTATGTAGAGCTTCTACACTTAAATGCAATAAGCAAAGACTTTGTAAACATCTAGACAGTTTTAAAAGAAATTCTAGGCAGCTTTGAGAGAGAATGAAGGAGTCAGGAATGAGGGCTGGGAGATGACAGCTCTCCCCACAGGCAGCTCGCCCTTTGTTACATTCCACTTGCAGTGAAAATCATGTCCAGAAATGGGATTCTTCTGAGGAGATACTTGCTGCTCTTTAGGAAGTGCCTTCTGCAGTTGAGGGTGATGATCCTCAGGCTGATGATGATTAGAAATCTTGTACATATTTGAATAAAATATCAAGCATTTGTTTATGACAAAGACTTTTATTGATGGAAAAACACTGTTTCCTCTGAATTTCTTGGACGCAGCGTAGGCTTATTTTATTTTATTTTAGGGACTTGGAAAATGCAAAACTGGCCTCATTAGAAACTGAAGCTAATGAATGATTCCACTTGAATAAAAGTCATGGAAGTGATGGTAGATGGAACTGTGAGGCCTAAGACCTAATAGGATAAATTTCTAAACTGTTTTGTTGAAAATAAAATTCCTCACTGAAAAGGAGAGGAATTTTAGCAAGAAGGGAAATGGGAGTAATTGAAAGCAACCTCATTTGGGGATCTGAACGTAACGGTGGATTAACAAAAGCCTTGGCACTGCTGCTGGTCCTTGCCAGCTGTAGAAAACTGGGTTTGGCTTTAATGCAAATCCATCACCTGCCAGCTCCTTCTGCACTGGTTTCACGTTGAAAAGATGACACAGGAGAATGCCTGCAGAGCCCTTCACCAAACAGCAGCCTCCAGTGGGGTCCAGGTAAGCCCAGCAAGCAGAAAAACTGTTCCAGGACACAGCATGACATGGCACAATATTAAGATATTGGTAATTAATACTGCACTCAGAGAAGAAAGGAGGAGGGGGGATCAGAGGAAGCTCTGAGCCTTTTGAGTTGATTGGATTCATTGTGGTAGAGCACACTGAGCTGTGAGGGGCAGGCTGGGGCTCTGAAGCTGGAAGGAGCCTGAAGGAGAAAGTGAACAGAAATTCAGCAGATACAACAAAGGGTCTATTTTTTTTCTAGTTTCTTGACAGGGAATTTTTTTTAGTAGGATTTTGGTCCACTCTCCCAGGCAGCTGCAGTGCCAAGGTATGGTGGAGTATTGTTCATGTGCTGTATGGAAAAAGGCCATTAACAACTGTCAGGACAGTTTAGAACTCAATTAACAATTACTTTGTTTTTGCAAGGCTTTCAGAGTGGCTGTTTTGAGCAGTCCCACACTGTTCCTGTTCTGTGCTGGGAAGTTTGCTCTAAGCAGATAATTGGGATCAGGTCACTGGCCAGGAGCTGCAGCACTGAGGGGTCAGATTGCAGGGACAGAGGCTCAGGTGTGCTCCTGCTGGAAGGCTGTGATCAAGGACCAGATACTGCTAAAGGTGGTTGGATTTCTTTTTAATCTGCACTTCCTTAGCTACTCAAAATCATGCCAAGTGCATACTCATAACAGGAAGGTAACAAACCGTGCTGTCATCCTGAAAACGAGGAGTGCAGATGCTTTAACACTAATCTTGAAACTTCTCAGGAGAGACAGAGGAAGTGGATTGGATCATCTGCTCCAGCCCTGTGGTCCCAAAGGGGCTGGTGTGATGCCTTCCCAGGGAGAAAACCAGATAAAACTCTCCTCTATGCAAGAGACCTTGCAGGCCAGGCTGTGCTCTGGAATCCTGTGCATTCCAAGGTACGGGATCCAGGGAGCTTCCCTCCTGTACCAGCAGGAGCCCTAAGAGGCAAGGGGTGAAGTTAATGTCCACTCAGCCTGGAAACTACTTCTGACAAGCAGCTGAAATGCTTTGGAAGGCTTCTGCACTGACAGAAATGAGACTTAATGATTAACTCTAAGAGAAATCACGTGGTAATGTTTATCTTAACATAACCCCACAGCCATGTGTAAACCCCAACAGCAGCAGAAAGGCACTTAAATGGGAGAGGTTAAACCTGTATCTTATCAAGGAAGCAAAGGTAAACACCAAGTAGGGTTTTGTTTAGCAAATAGCAAAATGTCCCTTATCCCTGGTCAGAATCAGGATAATCAGAGTGGTTTGGGTTGGAAAGGACCTTAAAGCTCATCTTGTTCCAACCCCTCTCCCCAGAGCAGGGGACCTTCAATTTGTTCAGAGCTGCATCCTTGAATTATTCTGATCATATTTGAATAGGAAAGTAAATCTCCCAATGGATATTGAAATATTGAGAATCGTTGCTGCTCTTTGAGAGTAGACAGGATTACAGAGAGCTCCCAGTTTTTAGCTGTTTGCCTGGATTCCTTGTGAAAGAGCACCCTGAGCTGGGAGTGAAACCTCAGTCCTTCAGTGGCACCAATCTTTCAGATCCAAATCAAAGCTGTAATTTAAAAATGAAGTTACTGATCACCTGCAGAACAGCTGATCCCCATGAGATGTACTCCCTTGTGTGTGTTATGTCAAAGGGTATGGAAACAGCTAAAGATCAAACTGTCCAGAGCAAATAACCGAGGGTTTGTGCTGCTGCTGGCACAGTGTGACACAAATAAACCACTGCATTGCAGTTTATCCATCTTAAATATGAAAACCAGCCATTGTGAAGCTGCCTTAATTTAATCTTTGCAGAAAGGAAGTGAAGGAACGTGCAGCTACAGAATGTGCCCATCTGGCAGTGCATCCCTGGTGGAAGGAGGTGCTCAGAAAAGCCCTGCACAGCTGCTGGAGCAGGACAGGGATGATGCAAAGAAACTGAAATGTGCTGGGAAAGGCCAGGCCTTGCTTAATGCTGCCTGGCCCTGGAGTAGTGAAAACATAGATCAGTTAGGAGCTGAAAGAAGGCTCGTGCATCTGTCAGCTGTTCAGCACAAAACCACAACTCTGCTGGTGTTCAGATGCACTTCTGTATTTCTACTTTCAGTCAGCTGTCAGCATCATCCTGCTTCATGCTGCAGGGGCTGGATTGGCTTCCTGAGCATGTACTGACGGTGCTGGGGATGTGCTGCTTGTTGTGACTGCAGAGATCTGATGGGAGCAGCCTCGAGGCTGAGGT